AAAATAAAAAAACATAAAAAAAAACAACTATTTGACCTGTTATTAAGGAAAAAAAAACAAACCCCTCCTTTTTTTTTTTTTTCCCCCCCTCTTTTTTTTTGGGGGGGGGGGGGGGGGGTGATCTCAATTAATTTGGTATACAAGGGAGGGCCGCCTAGAAAAATTCCTTGTGAAGAGGGTGGTCATCATATACTGCATGGGCTACCCGTCGAATACCACCATTCCCCCTCCCCCATTAAAAACGAACGGTTCATAAAGTCGAGGTTTGTTTAAATGAAGCTGTTGATTCAACTCAATACATAATGACTACTTACAAGCCAGATACTGAACACTGCTAAATTTAAGATCTACAAACGTCACTTTACTTAAACTTGTGTAGTTTTTTGTGGAATAGCAAGAGAGTCAGGTTACAACTTTTTTTAACATCCTTAACAGTTAACTTACAGTCAACACCTATACAGTTCAATGTATGTTTACCATCTCGACAATCTCTTCATCTTCATCAACTAGTAAACTTACTTCATCGGTATCAACGCCAGAATTTTCCTGCCCTTGATTGGCTCGTGGTACTCTATTCAAGTACGCTTCAATAATTTTAGGAGATTTCTCTTCAATGGCCAAGGCCATAATTCGTTTTTGTCTTTCTCCTCCTAGGTATTTGGTGACGATCTTGGGGAACAACCCGGTAAAAAACGCAACTGCAGTTTTTGCAACAGGCTTAAAACCGAGATGTAGCCGCATTGTCAAGTAAAAGACAAGGAATACGAAACTTGAAATGAAGGCCACCTTCAAAATCAATATGCAAAGAGTTTCTCTGATGGACTTAAGCTCTGCGCAAGCCATATCGAAAAGCTCCTTCGGGATTTTTATCACGTTGCGTTTGCTTTTAGAAGGATCGGTTTTGACGTCTGTGCACAGTCCCTCATGGGAGATTCGATGACTTTGTTTTTTGTAACAGTTAAAAATTGCAAGGGAGAGATCATGGTACCTGTTACTGAATGAGCTGTAGCTGCTCATCAAGTAGTAACAGAAAAGAAGAAAACACGCCACAAAGGGGGAACTTTCATCAGGAAACGAAAGCGCCATGATGACGGCCAGTAAAAGGGTTAACAGAATACCCAAAGAGGCACATGTCAAAATACAACCTCCGCCGAAAGAGGCTAAAAAACTTACAACGAAGTTGTCGATCAATTGAACGTACCTTTTCAAAGCTGGTAAACGAACAAAAAGGGACGACATGTACAGCTTTGAAAGAAATACCTGCGAGCACGACCTCAAAAAGACAAACTGAGGAACTGTACTAAAAAATTCAATATACAGCCGCAGCAGCGATGATAAAAGTAATAATATAACAGCAAATGGAAGAGTGAGCAAAAACAGTACAAACAGAGGACCACGGAAAACCCATCTTGTATGCAAATCCTTCAGAGTAATTATTTCATAATACCTTTGAAGACCTCGAACGAACAAACTCCAGCATTTAGCTAAAATCAGGGTTGCGCTCGCATATGGTTGAGGATTTGCCGAGGAATATCACGGCATAGACATTGAGCACGAGGGTTACATTTCAATGTTTGACAAGCGAAGCAGTTCTTCATTTCTGGTTTTACTGTATGCAGAAATAACAAACAAAAAAATACCTTAATAGAGTAGATGGCCACGCATACTGTGTGAAATGGAAAGGCAAAAATAGAGAAATAAGGATTCACAATAACAACTCCAAGAGCGACGGGAAGAATCGAAAGCATCACGAGTAGGGTACGGAATATGAACATTTTTCCAGTCTGACACCGAGTAGATTTGACGATAGAGCAATCATTGAAGAATAAATTGTTCCCCACCGCACTTCGAATACTAACTGGACTTGCTCCTTCTAGGACAATATATCGAATGCCATTTTCCATGACAAGTGTTGGAGGGAAAAGACAAAGTAAGGCTGGGAGATGGTTCGAACAAAGAACCCCCAACACGATGATAAATACAACGTAACCTGAAACCCATGACGACTGAACTTCCTGTGTTGTAAATACAACGTAGCCCATCTCTTCGATACTCTCCTTTACTTCTTTTCGAAAGTCTCTGGGTCTTAAAATCGTTATGCTTCTGGGCTCAAAGTGGCAAAACCCTTTGATTTGTCCTTCCTCGTAGCAACTAACAATCCAAGTCAAAGTCCAAACGCCTTTAATTCCGCGAGAAAAGCTGGAAAGCGTAATGTTTGCCGGTGTCGATACGTTAAAGTTGTAAAAAGCGATTTATAAGATGTTTGGTTAAGGCATTTCTTATTCACCTCCAGGTCGTAGAGAACATTAAATGTGATCAGTCTCTTCTTTGTAAACACGGGATCACATTGTTTGGTGAAATCAGACTCATTAACTCTACAGTTCTAGCTACATGTTGTATGATTGCTGAAGCCCTCGCTGACAGAGTGCTCTTCTTCTGTACCACTGCGTTGATGTGAACCCTGGACAAGCTGCACGGCTAGTAACACCACAAAACAGTGCGGGGCAGCTGACAGCATCCTCAACAGATTTGGAAAAAACGCAATTACAGGTGCACAAGTACGAGCCGTAAACTTCAATCTGCTGCGTAAGCAAAATACTATATGCGCCTAGATGAGCAAAAACTTGCTTTGCTTGCTTTTTTTTCTGCCTCATAAAAAAATAAAAGGAAATGTATTTACATGTACATTTTTTAAAATGACTGAACCGAAATATCGAAAGACGCACGAGTGATCAAACATAGCTATATTTTGGAACAAGACTGATTGTTCCCGCCTCATCAATTCCAACAATGAAATATCCATAGACATATTAAAATTCACCTCTACATCAAGGGCATTCTCGATAAACAAACAGCCAAGGAACCCGGACTACTTAAACGCGCAGCACTTAAACGTTTTTACTAAAAGAAGAAACCAAATTTCCACATTAAAATAACGTGAAGGGTTATACTTGAAGGGGCTAATAAGAAACTTGTCTAAAATACAACAGTCACTTCAGATTATAAGGTATTGTTTCAAGGTTTTCCGCTCAAATGACTTTTTACCTCGGCTCAGCAAGATCCCAACAAAGTTAATTAACAAAGAGAAAAAGACGCGGATGCAATTTCCGCCATACATCTTTCAGTACTTGCACCTTCATAAGGCTAAACAGTGCATAATTGGCTTGTAAGTGTTAGCAAAAAAAATATAGATAATTTAAGTTGAAAAAGCAACTGTCGTCCATAAAGGTTAATTAAGGATTTTCTGAAAATGCTGTCAGCTGTGTAATCACTGAGGTCATTGTTGACATGCTATTTTGGGACATAGGCCTTGTTTTCTAGCGTCATCTTCGGAAATAACAGAATAAGAGTAATGGATGTACAGCTGTATGGGTCTAGAACTCGATCAGCGAACCCAGTCATCCATGGTGCTGTATCATGGGTCCAGTACCACCCCGCAAGTGATCGCAACAATAAATAACCTAGTTTTTAAAAACCTGTTCGGCTAAATTTGCCACTTATACCCCACAAAACAGGAACAAGTCTGTTTAACCTTTGCGTGTGATCCGCGCTTTAATTTTTCTTATTATAGTCGTATAAGCATGCATTTGTAAATACTTACTTCGTATGCAGACTTTAAAAGGTTCAGATAGGCTTAAGAGCACTACATTTTTACATCCCAAGGTGGACAGTACATTACAGTTCTTTCCAGTGCAGAGATAGATCTTGAAGGAAGTGATAGGGTGGTGGGGAGGGGGGGGGGGGGCGATGCTCACCCAGAACCCAAGATACACGTGAAAAAAGGACCCGTCCCAAAAATAACATTTTCTCGGCCCCGAACTTTAGTTTGGTCTAAAAATAGAGTGTAGGGGAGGGGGTTCTCGGGCCCCTCGCCTACATGCGTTCATTACTGAGCAGATTAAGCCATTTCCATCCCCTGTCTTAGCCTGTTCCAGGCTCCGAGATAGTATGGTCCGTAAAATTGAGAAAGCGCGAACACAATGCGTCATCCCCACTATCAGAGAGAAAGGAACAGGCTACCCTTGTCCATAAAACTGCTCCTTCATTCATTTCAAGAAATTCGTTCAGTTGATAACCTTACCCAGCTGTCTCATTAGCCTGCGTAGGCTACTGTCTCGTATTCAGCTACGAGGTATTAAAAATATCACCAGGTCACGGCTTTTTAGCTGAAAAGAAACCTAAAATAATAAAGTTGCAAACTCTACAAGCATTCATTTTTTTTAAAATGAAGATATGATTGTCTCAGTGGTAATTGCAATTTAAGCAATTGCAAATATACCCAAAAAGTTGTTATTTTGCTAATCTAAAAGCATTCAGCTGGTAAGTTTAAGATCTATAGTATACATGCAGGGGTGGCTACAAATGGGGACAAAAGGTTATATTGAAAAAAATCACTATTTAACCCTTTCCCCCTTAAAACTTGGGCCTGTGTCTTTAGCTGAAAGCAGGCTCTTTCTGTAATGCAGCATTAAACAACACACTGAGAAATTGAATGCCTTTGAAATAATACTCCACCTCAATATCACAGTAAACTCTTCCCCTAGCTAAGGACTAAAATCGTGTATTAACTAGGAAAGGGCAAGGGAGGGAGCAGGGAATTTACATATATTAAGAGTGAAAGTTTAGACTCTTAGTCAAAGAGATGACCCCCTGTTAGTAGGGTACTTGAGTGTACCTCCTGGGGGTAAGAATACATGTAACAGTGCATCAGACTGTTAGACTCTGATTCTGAGGCTATAAGATGGTTACCGGTAATATTATAATACTGAACAATGATGCAGTCAATGAAAATCTCCTTCTTTGATCTAATTTAAAAGCACCTACTAGCCTCAATCATAACATTCATATTATTCATAATTTGGATTAAAATGGATTAAAATTGTCACTTTACAATTCCTTGCTCTTGCAGCATTTCTTTTAACTTGCCAGACTGGTACAGTTCAGCGGTTTCTGATCCTCCACCAATGCTTGTTCCCTTAATGAACACATTAGGCACTGTTCGTCTCCCTGTCATTACCTGGAGGGCACTCTACAGACAAAAGGGAACATAGAAATCATTTCGATGAAAAAAACAACACCCTTCTGTATTAAAGTCACAATCAAACCCCTTGTCATGGACACCATTTCATTACAGAGAGTTTATCTGGTCCCAAAGATCCAAAACTTCATACAATCAACACCACTGTAGTTATCTGTACAACACTGCTGATTGCCACAAAAGGCAATGAAATTAATGATAATGGCCAATTTTCCTGACCATTGGTTCATGGGCCTGTGTGTGTATATCAAGATATGAAACAGTCAGGACATACAGCTTATAGGTGGTCTAAGAAAAATTTGCTAAAACGATCTGGTCCCAGACTGGTGTAAAACAGTGACATCATGCATGAAAATTGCTTTTTTCTGGTTTCATCTACAAAATTTTCTGAAATCTGAAAGAAAAGCTTAAAACTAGTAATAACCAAAGGTTACGGAGTGCTGGTAACAACGATCGAATGTCAAAATGATATTGCTCCTGCCAAGTCCAGCACTGTGCTTTGTGTAAGTTTCATGTGACTTGACAAGGGGTTTAATTTTGTCTGTGGTGCAGGTTACCTTTCATACCACTAATGACAGAAATTGACGGCCCCAAGCTAGCCCTTTAATAAATAATAGTAATAGGACTGAATGGAGTCCAATTCGGTCTGTAATCATACAAGTGATTAACAAAGTCTGAGTATGATTACAGACTGAATTGGACGACACGAAGTTCTGTTACCAATTATTTATAACCGTAACAAAATTTGTGATGTTTAAGGCTTTTTTAAAATTCAAACAAAAGAAATCCCAAGAGTTTTTTTCCAGCAGTAAAATAAAAAGGGCATTTAAGTGCGCACGAGCAATGTACTGTCCTATTACACTGTCCTATTAGTGCTGAAATCAGGACAGTTGATAGCCATTAGATTTGAGGATTTTGTTATAGTAATGATTAAATGAAAAACACAGTTGAACCGCCATTACGAGGCCAGCACCCTCTATTAAGTAGTAGTCTCGAAATAATTGCCTCCACTAAGCAGCCACCTCTATCAAGCTGCCGTGGCCACCTTTTGGCTGTCCCAACAAGAGTTCTCCCATTGTTTTCGACTCTATTAAGCTGCCATCAAGCGCTTGGTACACTTTAATAGTTTGGCTTTATTTGAAGAATACGAGCCCTAGGATTTCGCAGTAACGAAAGTTTCTGGTACCATGTATTTACCGTGGTCTACAGTAACAGAACCAGAAAATAGTTTCGCAGTGCCTTTTTCAGCCTTAGGGGTCCATTTACAGAAATTCATTATTTTTTCAGACAGATACTTAACTACTTGGGCAATTCATTAGGTACGACTCATATATGACACTAAAATGTTTAGCATCTATCAGTTCCATCAGGAATTATACATTGCTGGTTTATGGCGCCGGTGTCCAGCGCCAAAATTTAAAAACATTTAAGAGATGGGTTCCCATGAATTTCACAAAATATAAAAAATATTGTTATGGAACCAAAAAATTGCTTTCCATGGGAATTGAAATCCTAGGGCTTGAGAATATGATGAAGGGAAATCCAGTCCAAGATAGGTGATGACTGATTGTGAACCATGGACTAATAATGCTGCTCCTGTCATGTGTTTGTTTCAAACTAAAGGGGATGTTTCTGCTAAAGGACATGCTCATGTTATGCTAATAGAGTACTAAAGTGATGATGTCATAAAAATGAAATTTCTGAAATTATGGCATTTGTCAGGATATTCTGAAAGAACAATGTCCAAGAGGCCTACTTGCCAAAAATGAGCATTTCGGGGCAAATTGTCTCTGAGATGCTAGCCGGTTATACTCAGAAAACTCCATACAAACCCTTCTAATTTTTTGGGGGGTCAATCCAAAAAAATTTAAAAGGGTTTGTATGGAGTTTTCTAAGCATAACTGGGCTACGATCTCACAGACAATTTGCCCCGAAATGCTCATTTTTGGCAAGTAGGCCTCTTGGACATTGTTCTTTCAGAACATCCTGACAAATCCCATAATTCCAGAAATTTCATTTTTATGATATCACACTTTAGTACACATATCACACTTTAGTACTCTATTTATGATGAACCTCTATTGAGTGGCCAACCTCCAATAAGTGGCCACTTGCCAGTAACCCAAGGGTGGCTGCTTTAATGGAGGTTCATTTGTAATCTGAAGATTTTCAGTTTGAAGTGTTTAGAGTGGGTTGCTGAAATTATGCTTGCCTCATTGATTGCATGAACCCTTGACCAACATCAATATTTTCTCAGCAATATCACTACAGTCGAACCTGTATTAAGCGGCACTGTATTAAGCAGTCACCCGCTATTAAGCGGTCAGTTTTCAAATTCCCGAAAATTCTTCTCTTGATGTACTGTAATTTCAACCTCTGTTAAGGGGTCAACTCTATTAAGCGATCGCGGTCACCATTTGCGAAGTCTCATTGTCTTAACCTGTATTAAACGGTCACACGGTGTCAATTACTTGTTCATACAGTTTCAAATATTAATACTCTAACACACCTGGTACAACAATTGATTTTCTTGTTTATTTTCGCAAATCATTAAAATGCCGGAAATGAATATTTCTATTTGAGGGCAAACGTCTGATTTGATCAGCACTGGAGATCGAATTTTGAACTGTATTTCTTGCAACCTGTATTGGGCGGTCAACTTGTATTGGGCGGTCACTTAGCCATTCCCTAAGGGTGACTGCTTAATACAGGTTTGACTGTATAATCAAAAGAAAAGGTTGTTATGAGAATTGGTAAAAAGATCACTTAAGGGAAAATGCATTGATCCTTTGATGAATTCTCTCAACTAACTCTTTAAAGAAAATATGTATGGAAATCTGTCTGGGGTACATGTATTTGAATGAGGATACTGGGGCTTCAAGGAATGAATACTCTGCACATTAATAAGAAGTTACATGTATACTTCCAGCTGGGAGCGAGATCGGAATTGACTGATGCATTTGGTACAATCATGGTAAATACCCCAAAGTATTAAGATTTCTATCGGCAAACCATTACTATATAAATTTTCATCACCATTTTCATTTTGTCTCTTAAATGGCTAACTTTCCATATTCTCACCTGGATCTCCGCAGCGTCTTGCCTTTGTTCGATTTCGTAAACTTTCATCTCCTCAACTCCTGCCTCACTTAAAATCCTCTTGGCTAGAGCTGAAAACGGGCATGTTGTTTTGGAGAACACGACGACATTATGTTTTTTAATGGCTGACTCTATTAACGAAAGAGCTGCTCGTGAGGCGGACATCACTATAGTAGTAAACAGAAAAACAAAGACAGCCTCCAAACTGTTCGTTGAAAGAGCTATCGCTGCATGTCCAGCCTGATAAGCCTGATTCTACGTCGCCATGTTGTCCGCCATTGTGAACCTACCCATAAAGTATAGCGAGCATCTATCGTGCCCAGGCTCCAGGGTTTGAAACCTCTCACACAGAGTTCTTGGCTTCTTATTCAAACTTGCCATCCTTTAAAAGGCAAAAATTGTGAGAATTGGAACCTAGAGCTAGGAAAAGTAGTGAGAAATGGGTAAAAAGTCTTGAGATGTTCCATATTTCCTAGTGGAAGTTGAAAAAGAGAAACATTAAGTCATCACGTCTGCACAATTTGTGGCAGAAGCAAGTCGCGACCGCTAAACGTTTTCTTTGGATAGAGCTGTGGCTATCTATTGATGTCTAACTTGGAAACGAACCCTACAACACCAAGCGTGACCATTCGAGAAAGCGTGGGAAATCAGTTCCCAACTCGTGCGAACCTGAGATAGGTCGTGAAATCGTGAGACTCAAGAAAAAGTCGTGAGACTTGGCAAGTCTGAGTGATTTATCCGGAGGATAGCTTTATCCAGCCTTTATTAAAACAACTTGGACTATGCGCCCGTTTCTCGAAACGCCCCGTAACGTTTCGGGTCCGAAGCCAAATATTGGAATCAAAACATTTTGAATAGTAGCACAGTTCGTGGCTCACAAACCAGTCAATTTCGCTTCCTTATCCGTTGGCAGTTTCAATGTATCATTTTCAAAATTATTGAAACTTTCTTCTTGAATCAGGTGCAAAGGCGGCAAACACTAAACAGCTTTCCAGGCCCCAGATCACTAAACGTTACAGGCCTCTGGTTATATTGGAATTGACCCTTTTCACTTCTCACTTCCCCTCCCATCTCAGGTGCTTTGTTAGAAGATAAGCCTCTAATAACAGATTTAACGTTGTTCTCTAGTAAATTCTTAAAAGAGGACTCTAGTTCACCAACCCCAACAGTCTGAGGTTCAGTCTCATTAAGATCTGCAGGGTCTGTGATCAAACTAAAAGCCCTTAATCACACTTTAGCTTGCCTTCATGATTACTGTTAAATTTACTGTAGACGAACAGGGGTCTTTTTTGCATGAGCATGCGCGACCGCTGAACAAGCGATGTGCATGGAGGCTCACCACAGGGTTTGCCTTCATCAAAATGGCGCGTCTCAAAGCTATCATAGCGATTATTTTGCTCGTTGGTCTTGGCGAATGTGCTCGTGATTTAACAAAATGTGTAGTTTGCAAAAAAAACTCTAACATGGTCTTAACAAAAGCGAAGTAGACAAGCTTAAACATACACGAGCTACTATCAAATTTCATCTCCCCACTTGACCTGGACAACAGCGCGCGTGTATGTAGTGCCTGGAGGATTGCGCTGACCTCATCAAAGTCTAAACAAAGTGCAGAAACAGTTTGTTGATGCAAGTAAACACTTTCAATTTTCTTTGTTTTGAAATCGGAAAGGAAGAGAAATATTAGAAAAAAAACAAAGCAAATTTCAGCGAGTGGGTTCGAAGTGCGCGAAAGCCGATGTTCAGTTCAGCAGTGAATTAATATATGTTCTACAATTTTCCCAGCACTTTAAAGCTACAAAATTAAGAGCACACGAGACGTAGATTAGTCACCTGGTGAGATGTTGGTGGTAGTCACTCTGTATGTCTCGAACAATAAAAAAAATGAATATCAATGAGACACAGTCAAAACTGCATTCAATAGGACCGAAATTAAAGTCCAATCTTGTGACCGATTTTGATGAAACAAACGGTTAGGTTTCCCAAGAAGTACAGTAAACATGTGATGCCGACCAAAAGTTAAAAATCATTAGAACATTTAAGTTCTGGCTAAAAGCAAATTCCTGTAAAAGATGCGTTACAATGTTAGTCCACGCAAAAACAAGAAGTTCTACAATTTTCCTATAAACAAACTTTGTATCGCTAAAATACTTAAGGCAAAAACTTTCTATTCCAACTGAAAACGGCGTGGTAGTCGCCCGCTGATCGTTATTAATCCACTCCCGAAATATGGCTAAATCAGCTATTAACAAATAATTGACAGAAATCCTCTACGGCATCGAGAAACTGATTTACATCCGATTTATAGACAAACACTAAATAAAGAACATTTTGCTCAGTAGCTACGCATCAGCAATGCATTCTATGCCAAACTTTGCGGTTCTTAAAGGGGAATCAAGACACGAGTCGAGCGCCAAACAACAACAAGCAGCCATGTTCGTGTCAGACATCCTTGAGTAACTTGCTCTTTCACCTCGTTCAGCGCATCAGTCTCCACTTTAAATCAACAGATCTTTACTTATTTTGTACAACGAAGGTCTTTCCTAAGTTCCTGGTACCATTTCAATCTCAAGCAAGCTTTCAAAGTGAACAATTTGGTTCCTATGACTATGCAGCACGGTCGCTGTCGCTGGTCGCGTGCTCTTTGACAAGTCAGCGGTCGCGCATGCTCATGCAAAAAAGACCCTTGTTCTGTAGACGTAAAGTAGGAAGTGACACAACGATGTGACAAAAGGATTTTGACAGATTTTAAACGGCAGTTAAGGACTTTACATACAGTGTTTGTTTCCTTGACTAATGAAAATCTCGCTTTCACATGAATTTTTGCAGCAATTTTCAGTTGTCTTTTCGCCTGCTGTCTGAAAAACCGATAGGCATTCATTCCACCATTATTTGTCCTGAGTTGTAAAAGACCACTTCCGAGTTCCAAAAACCCTCACTTTCAAAATGAGGCCAAGTGCACAACCTTTCTTGTGAAAATGAGTTTTATTTGCATGAGAATGAAAAATTATTTGCCTATCAAAGGCTGAGCACTTAACCTCGTTTTGATACAGAGGCCCGGGGGAACTCGGAATGGCCTATTGCCTTTTTATGCCAGTCGTCTCTTGTTCTCATGAGTTGTGTTGTGTAAATGTGACTTTGCCGACGCCTTTTCTGAGCTTAGAGATATGGGCACCAACAAGATGAACGTAAATGAATTAAAGTTAGCTTTTCAATAATTCGTATAAATAAATAAACAAATAACTAATTTACAGAGGAAAAATGTATAATGCATGTAAAACTAATTAAGACCAATTGCTGTGCAAGGCCGATTTGAAAGAGACCCTTATTCCCCCTATTTTTAAACTTTTGACGTGGATTACTCAGACAAAATCCGTCCGCACCATTAGAAAGAGCGTCTCTTAAAATTAGTAGAACTGCCAACTTTGAAAGTGATACATCTTAAGCGAGCGAAGATATAGGTCCGCAGAATTGCGAAAATTTACAGTGGACGTTTGTATGGTGACCCCCACAATACAAACGTCTGTAAAATTTCGCGACTTTGAGAAGCTATATCCTCGTTAATTTAAGCAATACACGTTCAATCTTGGCTGACGTTCTAATTTAAAGGCACCCTTTTCAGCGGAGTCGATGGATTTTCCCTAACATGTCCATGTCAGAAGTTTAAAGTGGAAAAACCGTGGAAAGGTCTATTGGAAACACGCAAGAAATGCCAAGATAAAACAATAACAATTTAACACCTAAAAGTGTTCCTTAAGCAAAAAATTTCCTACGAAGACAATAACGGGACCAAGAAGAGTCNATTTGCATGAGAATGAAAAATTATTTGCCTATCAAAGGCTGAGCACTTAACCTCGTTTTGATACAGAGGCCCGGGGGAACTCGGAATGGCCTATTGCCTTTTTATGCCAGTCGTCTCTTGTTCTCATGAGTTGTGTTGTGTAAATGTGACTTTGCCGACGCCTTTTCTGAGCTTAGAGATATGGGCACCAACAAGATGAACGTAAATGAATTAAAGTTAGCTTTTCAATAATTCGTATAAATAAATAAACAAATAACTAATTTACAGAGGAAAAATGTATAATGCATGTAAAACTAATTAAGACCAATTGCTGTGCAAGGCCGATTTGAAAGAGACCCTTATTCCCCCTATTTTTAAACTTTTGACGTGGATTACTCAGACAAAATCCGTCCGCACCATTAGAAAGAGCGTCTCTTAAAATTAGTAGAACTGCCAACTTTGAAAGTGATACATCTTAAGCGAGCGAAGATATAGGTCCGCAGAATTGCGAAAATTTACAGTGGACGTTTGTATGGTGACCCCCACAATACAAACGTCTGTAAAATTTCGCGACTTTGAGAAGCTATATCCTCGTTAATTTAAGCAATACACGTTCAATCTTGGCTGACGTTCTAATTTAAAGGCACCCTTTTCAGCGGAGTCGATGGATTTTCCCTAACATGTCCATGTCAGAAGTTTAAAGTGGAAAAACCGTGGAAAGGTCTATTGGAAACACGCAAGAAATGCCAAGATAAAACAATAACAATTTAACACCTAAAAGTGTTCCTTAAGCAAAAAATTTCCTACGAAGACAATAACGGGACCAAGAAGAGTCAGCCAGACAGATTTTAGTTGTGTTATATGAAGACCAGCAACTTTGAACCCAACGTTTCCATATCTCTGGTGCCTTTCTAACAGACCAGCAAACAGACCTATTTTTTGTTCTGTATTTAACGCAAATCCCATTCGGCGCTGATCCTCGCTGTCGAGAGTGGTTACGGTGAATATCAAACGGCTGAGCTGTGAGCTTATTTGACCTGATTTATACAACGGGAGGGAGAATAGAAACACAGTTTCACATAGAAAAACAAGGAATGTCCCCAGACACTCTGAGAGGATAACACCATAGAATATGTTGTTTGTTGGTGGGATATGCTGGAACATTTCCACACTGGAGTAAACACTTATTGTCCCCCAAAGCACCAACAGGAACAAAAGCCCCATCAAATACGGCTGAAAAGCTCGCGAAGAATTTTGAATCCTTGTGGTCATCGCATTGTAATTTCTGAGAAGTTCCGTTAGAGTTATGTCACTTTGCTGTATCTGTTCTTGGAAGTCCTTCAGTTCCAGGATGTGAATTTGAACAACGAGAATTAGAAAGAAAAAT